AAAAAAAAAGCCCCCAACAAAAGCAAAAAGGAAAGGCTAAGGCAATTTGAAGAAACTCACATGGTAAATCAAGAGAATTAGGTTGTTGAACATTGCCTCTTCTGCATTAATTTGGATATTCAAAGTTATCTACAAAGACATTTCAGATCAAGCTGCAAATGTCAAACATACACATGATGATGCAAATTTTATGTACAAACTAAAATAACACTACTCAATTGCATATCTTCAAACTAAAATAAAATAACACTACTCAATTTCCATCCTTGATAACCTACTGGTCACCCTCAATGGAAAAGTAAGAGTAACAAAGTATGTTGCTTCGACTCTCCAAAAATGTTGTCGGGTGCGTGTCGGATCCTCCAAAAGTAAGTGCATTTTTGGAGGATCCGACATAGGTGTGGCAGCATTTTGGAGAGTTCGCGCAACATAAACGAAGATACCAGAGTCTCTAGCCGAATGGTGAATAAGGGGCTGTCCTTCAAGAAACTAGCACTGACTCATTGCTCGTAGTTTCATTGCAGCGATCTCTTCTAATCTTTTCCATGTAGTCTGACTTCAAGTTTGTGCAAGCACGCTTCAAAGAGTTCAGCATCACTGTTAGAGAAGATTTTGCAAACATTTAACTTCAAACTTTTTACTGCATGATTCCAGTGGCCTATAGCATTCTTCTCCAAAGCAGGGACGATTATTCGCAATATGACTTTACGATTTAGTTTGATTAGGTTTCCAAATATGATCATTTCCCAGAGGAACAAAGCACTCTCAGCCACCTGCAGATTCAAGACTTGGTTACTGAAAAGAACAAGAGAAATAAGAGAGATACACCCCAACTAGGACAGGGGGAAAAAGAAAAAATGGGAGAAATATCACCACGAGAATTCAGTTTATCCAATTCAATCAAATAACCACATTATTTTTATGTCCACTTTCACATTTGTAAAGAATATTCATACCCTAAGTGCAGTTGAAATTACGATTAATGAAACACATTCATGGCTTGCGATTTATCTTTTAGATTTCAGACTTGTACAGTTGTACTCTAGAATATTTGTACCAAACGCATTCAGGAGTTGCGACTATGTGAAATTACTTGTCAATTCAGACACAGCTCAGACTTTTGCAGTCAGCCGTACTTAAGTCGCATTTGAATGCAACTTTTGTTTTGATAAGGTAGTGATTTCAATAGATGGCATCAAGATGCAAGAAGTACATGATTTGGCATTTGAGCTTACAAAAAATATTCCGGCTCCTTTTTTTTTAGGAATCAAAGCAATAAAAGAGGCATTAATGGATTTAACCATGTGGCAGTTGTGGTAGAAGCGATTCATTGCATCAATAACCTCCTTTTTGATAATCTCCCAAGCATGTTGAAAGAACGTCATAGTAAAACCATCCGGTCCTGGAGCCTTATCTGGAGCACATTTTTTAATGGTTGAAGAATCTCATGTTCCTCAAACTCTCTTTCCAACCAGTGTCTCTTAGCTTCTGAAATCCTAGTTAGATTGTCAAATGTAGCTTACGGCCTCCAAGGTTCATTCTTTGTGTACAACTGCCGATAGAAGTTCAAGATTTCACTTTTGATTTCCTTCTTATCTTCAGTGATGACTTCCCCAATCTGTCGCCTATAATTGCAGTTGTTTCTTCTGTGAGCATTAGCCATCTTTTGGAAGTACGTTGTATTTCTATTTCCATCCTTAAGCCGTAAGCATCTTGATTTTTGTCTCCATGAAACCTCTTCAATCATTGCTAACTGCTGAATTTGTGATTGCAGGTTGATTATTTGAGCCTTCTCAGCTTGTGTTTGAACTCCGGCTTCAGATGATTGTTCCAGTATAGTTAGTTCATTAAGTGCCTTACTTTTTTGAGTTTCTAGTTTTCCAAATACTTCGGAAACAGCCTCCCTGCCCCAGGGTAGGGGTAAGATCCGCGTACACACTACCCTCCCCAGACTCCACTTTGTGGGATTATACTGGGTTGTTGTTGTTGTAGTTTTCCAAATACCTCCTATTCCAGCATGAGATATCTTTCTCCAGATTCCTCAATTTTTGAGTCAAGATGAAGTCTGTACTGCCCACTACTTGATAACTGGACCACCATTCTTTAACTGAGTCCATGAATCCCTCTGCTAGCAACCACATATTCTCAAATTTAAAATAAGATGAATTGAAGTCCCAATCCCCACATTCAAGCATTAATGGCTTATGATCAGACTCTACTCTAGGTAAAGCCACCTGCTTTATTGCCTTGAAGTTGTCATTCCAGTCAGATGAAATTAAGAACCTATCAATTTTGGAAGCCTGAAGTTGTTCTTCACCTCTAGACCATGTATATTGAGCTCCATGTAGGGGTAAGTCCAACAGTTCCAGTTCCAATATGATATCAGAGAAAAATTTCATTGCTCTGGACCTTCTAAGACAGTTGAATTTTTCATGCTCATATCTACATACATTAAAGTCTCCTCCTATCACCCGGTGTTCATCCCAAATACCCCTTATTGCTGTCAATTCATGCCAAAGATTCTTTCTTGCTGCATTTGAATGTCGCCCATATACCCGAGTGTAACACCACCTGAATTGTTCTTGGAGACTTTCTAGAATGAGAGACACCGAGTATATACCTTGCTGAATGTTAATGCTTTTCCACAACCTCCTGTCCCACAAAATGATGACCCCACCTCTTGTGCCATTTGCTTGCAAATCTGCCCAGTTAGCCCATCTATTTCCCCATAAGAACCTACTAATTGTTATGACCACTCTTCAATTTTTGTCTCCTACAAACATACTATGTCTGCCTTCCACTTCATCAACAAAGATTTGATGGTCCACCTCTTCTTACTCTCATTCAACCCCCTAACATTCCAACTAAGGATTTTTACTTTCATCCCGAACGAGCTTTATGGATCCTGCCCCTTACCCTACCTTCCCCTTTCCCTTGGCTTAAATTCAAAACTAATTTTTTCAATTCTGTCATCCCTTTCTTCTTTTTTGTGTTCGAACAACCCCTTTCTGACTCCCTTTGATGCAATTAAGATTGTCTCCTTTGGTCCATCTTAAAATCATATTCAATAATTCGTGTTCAAAACCAGCTGCATTAACCCCAAATGCTTTGCATGCCTTCATCATAACCAACTTTGTCCATTTCGAAGTGGATATAACAGAAGGAGTATGAACAATTTGTTGATTAAAAGAGTTATCACCGTACCAAGGAAGAGAGAGAGTATCATTGTGAGATTGAGAAGAGTAATCAGATTCTGAGTCAAACACTGGTGCTAATTCCCTGATCTGTGGAGGAATAGAAGGAAGTTCTACATCCTGGGGCAATTCTCCTTCATCATCAGCATCGCAAAGGCTTGGACAAACATTCCCTTCTGAATCGGGTGAAATTTAAAAATAGCCAGATTTACAAGTGGTCGTTCAAAAATAGCTCAGTTTCAAACGTAATCAAAATTTAGCCACTTTTCATGTAAAGATAAATCTGAGCGAAAATACTGTTCAAAACCCGGAAAATACGCCAGTATATTATGCTGGAGTTCCAGCATAAGTATATTTGAACTCCAGCATATTATACTGGAGTTCCAGGATAAGTATGTTGGAACTCCAGCATAATATGATGGAGTTCCAGCATAAGTACACTAGAACTCCAGCATAATATACTGGAGTTCCAGCAAGTATATCGGTCCAGTATAATATGCTGGAAGTTCATACAAAAGTACTCGAATCTCCAGTATATTATGCTGGAACTTTCCGTGTGTTGGAGTTCCAGCATAATATGCTGGAAGTTCATACAAAGGTGCACCGAACTCCAGTATATGATGCTGGACCGATCTCTGTTCCAGCAAAATAGTGGCTATTTTTCATTGACTTGGTAAACGTTAGCTATTTTTGAATGACCAGTCCGAAAACTGGCTAGACCGTGCTATTTTTACTTCTGAATCATACGCTTAATTTTCAGAGCATGGAATTCTATGGAAAGGGGATCAAGATAATGTGGTGGAGGTGAAGAGCGTATTTTTAGAAGACATGGGTCTTGGGTTCTGGCCTTCCAGATCTGTATCTTCTTATTTCTTCTTTTTGGGCTTGTATTGTAATAAACCCGATCTGTTTTCTTTGTGTTTGAAGGCCCAACTTCATTAATAATGCATGCCCCTTTGTCTGGTTTGTTAATAATAACTTTTTTAGGCCCAACATCCTTAATAGTACTGGCCCCTTTGGCTGGATTATTAAACCTAATATAGGGCCCCACCTCCTTGGCATATGGCGATTTTGAATTAAAGGCTAAAGGCACGTGTTGTGCCTGTGGCCTATCTACTGATTTGACAGCTGTAAACCTTGAAACACTAACCCCTTCTTCTTCAATGAAACTCTTGCTGCTGCAATCCATCTCTTCTCCAGCGACCCATAATTTTGTGTGAGCATCTGAAATAACAGAAATTTCATAGCTTAGTTCTCCCGCTTTCAATTATAGTTTACTAGGAATATCTTCAATTGATTTGTGGACACAAATCCTAGCCCAGTGCAGGTGAGTCCTTTTCTTAGTGTCTTCGTCGGTGTCAAAGAAGCCGCCACACAATTCGCCAATGACACTGAAAGAGATTCCGACCAAGCATGGAGAGGAATTCCAAAAGCTTTTATCCATCTATGTTCGGAGTTTGGTTCCGCCATTGCCAACCCTATGACCACCGACAACTACTCCGATGACAGCCTTCTTCTTCCATTCCAGTACCAATCACCTGCCTTGACTCTGCTTCTTGGCGAGAAGGCATCTCAAAGAGGAAGAGATTGTGCGCTATCAGCGTAACCTTCAAGCCTGCTGTCACTTTCCATATGTTACAATTTTTGAACAACTTCATGGTTTGGAGACATGTTGAATGGATCATTAAATCTCCCAACTAGACATTTAGCAAGAAAATGAGAGCTATTTGCTTCAGCCTCTGCACTAATTTTGATTAGCACCATTCATCTCAATAGAAGGCTAGAGCTAGAGATTTTTTTTTTGAGAAGGTAACATATGTATTATTAATATAAAAACTTCACTAAAATTGTGAAGTCGCCCATAATTACAATGAAGTGCCCTAGCAAAAAAAAGTAAAGACACTTCTAGTCCTTGGTCTTCTTATAAGGACTCTAGTATTTCTAAAATGGATTCATGATCCTCCAAAAACTTACCTTTACACCAAAAATAGAAAAGAGCTAAACATTTCATCTTTATCTTCTGAATATTGCTAGACTTATCTTCAAAACATCTTTGATTCCTCTCTTCCCAAACTGTCCACCATATGCAGGCTGGGACAATTTTCCATCTCTCTCTTTCTCTAGATAGTGTGCCCTCTTTACTCCAGCTCGCTATAATATCAAGGACTCTTCCTGGCATTGCCCATTGAATTCCCCTCAAACTGATGAAAATTCTCCGTATTTGGATATTGAACTTGCAATGCAGAAAAAAATGGTTAATTGTCTCTTCTCTCCACATAAGTAGCATTTGGAGCATAATTGGAATCCTCTTCTAGTTAAATTGTCCTGTGTTAGAACTGCTTCTCTTGCCAGTAACCATGTGAAGCAGGCCACCTTGTATGGGATTTTAACTTTCCAAATCATCTTCCATGGCCAGCAATCCACCTTTGTTGATCCATTTTGGCCATAGGTTTCTAATTGATCTCCACAGACTAACTCCATATGGCCTTCTTACAGTTTTGGTTGTCCAGTTTCCTTCCATTCCATATTTTTCCCTAACCGCTTCTGTCCACAATGTTTGTTCATCTGCTGCAAATTTCCACAGCCACTTCATCATCAAGCTTTGATTCTGGACTCTCAAATTCTTGATCCCTAAACCACCTGACTTCTTGCTTGTAATTAAATCACCCCACTTGACCAAGCGGTACTTCTTTTTCTCACAGTTGTCTTCCCATAGAAAGTTTCTTCTTAGGGCATCAATTCTGTTCACTACACTGGCTGGCATTGGAAATAATGACATCATATATGTAGGCATGGCATCAAGTACTGAGTTAATCAAGATCAACCTTCCCCCCATTGACAGGTATTGATTCTTCCAGTTAGCTAGTTTCCTTTCACATTTCTCCAATACATCATTCCATATTCCTTTTGATTTGCTCTTAGCACCCAATGGCATCCCCAAATATACTGTAGGCAATTCCCCTACCTTCCCCCCAAGAACATTGGCCAGACTCTGTAACTCCATAACCTCATTAACTGGGTGAATGAAGCTTTTTTGTTAATGTGCAACCCAGATGTGGCTTCAAAGAGAATGAATATCACCCTTAGAACTTTCACTTGCTCTCTTTCTGCTTCACAGAAGACTAAAGTGTCATCTGCATATTGTAAATGAGAAATCCTTCTGTTGGTGTCATTTCTAGTGCTCATTTTGAATCCCCTGATCCAACTGTTTGCCTGGGCTGTTTTCAGCATGTCATTCAGCCCCTCCATGGCTATGATAAATAGAAAAGGGGATAGGGATCCCCTTGCCTTAGCCCCCTCTGTGAAGGAAAAAATCCAGCTGGGGCACCATTGATTAGAACTGGGAAGCTTACAGTGGATATGCAAAATTTTATCCAGCTGATCCACCTCTCTCCAAAACCCATCCTCCTTAGAATGTCAAGAAGGTACTTCCAATTCAAATGATCATATGCCTTCTCAATATCCAGCTTACATAGGATCCCTGGTTCTTTGCTTGTTGTTCTTGTATCTATGCACTCATTAGCTATTAAAACAGCATCCATGATCTGTCTTCCTCTTATGAATGCCATTTGTTGAGAATCCACCAGCTTGTTGGCCACCTTCTTGAGTCTCTCAGTCAATAGCTTGGATATAATCTTATATATGCTGCCAATCAAACGTATGGATCTGAAGTCTTTTAGTTCTTTGCCCCCACCATCTTAGGAATCAATGCCACAAATGTAGCATTCATGCTCTTTTCAAAGACTCCTTGATCATAGAAGTTTTGGATTGTTGCTACAGCTTCCTTTTTTACCACATCCCAGCAATTGTTGAAGAAGGCCATTGAGAATCCATCTGGTCCTGGTGTCTTGTCTCCGGCACATGCCTTAACACTGTCCCATATTTCCTGCTCTTCAAATGGACTCTGCAGCATTAAATTATCCTCTGCTGTAAACATTTGGTTGATTCTGTTGGGTCCTACTGGTCTCCACTCTTCTTCTTCTTTGTACAACTTTTTGTAGAATCTAATAATCTCCCTCTTGATGTCTTCTGGGTTCTGCATAGTCTCCCTTTCTACCAACAATTGGTCTATGTTATTGTATCTCCTGTGGGCATTAGTTGTTCTGTGGAAAAACTTGGTGTTCCTATCCCCCTCTTTCAACCATAGTGCCCTGGATCCCTACCTCCATGCTACTTCTTCATGATTAGCAATCTCCTCAAACTCCAAGGTTAAAGAGTTTTTTTGAGAGTATCTCTTCTTCAGTCAGAATCTTTTATTCATGAATTTCTTCCAGTTTTGCCAGTTGGTTGAGAACACTTGCCTTCTGTAGAGCTAGGTTGCCTTGCAAATTTTACTCCATTCCTTGAGCTTGTTCTTCAGTGCTTGGAGTTTAGAGACTAGTATATAGTCTGGCCTTCCTTCACAGTTGAAGGAGTTCCACCATTCTTCAATTCTATCTTTAAATCCCTCAGTCTGAAGCCACCAGTTTTCAAACTTGAAGTATGATTTAACTGGTTCCCAGCTTCCACATTTGAGCATCAATGTCTAGAGCTAAATATTAGCAACATCAAAATAAGATCTTGACTGACTTTGGTAATTCCAGTTTGACGCCGGTCTTTCTGGTCTCCACAGAAATCTCAAGATTTTGTCTGCAATGTCGCACCAACCTCCGTTTTAGATAATTTCTGGGATAATCACCGATGATTTCCTGTAAAGGTGTCTAACGGGCCGGGTTGACCCGGAACCGGACCGGCCCAGACCGGTTAAAACCGAAACCGGACCGGCCCGGTTCATAAGGGGCTGGGTGGGCTGGGTAGGAGGGGTAGAGGGGGTTGGACCGTTTATTATTTTTTACCGGTTAACCGGACCCGTTAAACCCGATCCAATGAATAGTGCCTCTAACCGGTTTAACCGGCCCGGCCCGGACCGGCCCAGACCATGAATATACCATAATATACCATGAATATACCATAAATATACTATGAATATACCATGAATATACTATGAATATACCAATTATTGTATACTAATTAACATAGTTTAAAATTGTTGGAATTTAACATATAGTGTATATATTTAGGGTATAAAACTATAAATGTTAAAATCATAGAATATGATGGTAACGTAATATTTTTAAAATATGCTATATATGTGTTATTTTAAGATTTTAAGACAATTTGTGTTATTTTAAATTATTAGACATATTTATGCTTAATATTTTAGTTTGTTAGATTAATTTGAAGTATTATTAATTTATTATGCATAAAAATTTAGTTTACTATTTATTTGTTAATTTACTTTTTAAATGCAAACTTTAATTTTGTAATTTTGAAATANTAAAAATTTAGTTTTACTATTTTTTGTTAATTTACTTTTTAAATGCAAACTTTAATTTTGTAATTTTGAAATAAATGTAGCACTTGCAATTTATAAGTGCAATTTTTCCCCATCTTTCTTGTATTCTTTATATTAATACAAAGTACTAATATAACTTACAGTAGTTATACAAAATATTTAAAAAAAAAAAAAAATACTAAACCCAGCCCGGCCCCCTCAACCCGCAACCCGTACGGTTCATTTTTTACCCGGATTAACCCGAACCCGTTAAACCCGTTAAGAGCAAGCCCGGAACCGGCCCAGAACCAAACCCGTACGGGTCCAAATAATACTGGCCCGGACCGGCCCGGCCCACCCGGTTAACACCCATAATTTCCTGTCACCCAACCATGCCTCAATACGAACAAATCTGCTGTAACTATTAAGGCTGTATGGTGTGCTGGGCCCGGGCCTAAATGGGCTAAACGGGCCTGGGCTTAGCGGTCCCGGGCTCTGGCGGTCTCGGGCTTCACGGTCCCGGGCTTCGTGGGCTCAACGGGTAGGACCAGCCCGTGACGGGCCTAAGCCCATCTGGTCCTGGGCTTAATGGGTCGGGCTCGTGGGCTTAGCGGGCCTAACGGTCTTTTTTATTTCCGGGATTTTTTTTTTAAATTTTTTTTATTTAAGGCAATTTCTTGTAAACCATATGTGTATGTATATATATAAATTGCTCTTATGCATGGCTATATAAATATATGTAGTATATATAATATAGAAATCTAATTATTAAAGTGTTTGACGAAAATGTAAAATAACAAATCAATAGTAAAACTAAATTGGCATGCATAATAAATTAATAACAAAGTACAACATGAAGCATAAATACGTCTAATAATTTTAAAATAACACAAATTGTTGAAAAATCTTAAAGACGAATTTGTGGATAAATACCCTCAACACAATACTTTATATGCCTCCTTAAAATGCCTGTGGTACACCCTGAACGAAAATTTAAGACTCTTCCACAGTTCTTGCACTTTAATATTTGGCCTTCTTCATTTTCTTCAAGCACTTCATAGTATTGCGAAACAAATAAGCGCACTCTTTCCGAACGAGGCATGATTTAACTTGAAATTTGAGATTGAGACTTGAAGTCTTGAAAATTGGAGATTGAGAGATTGAGAGAAATTTAGATTGAGAAATGAGTATTGAGTATTGAGTATTGAAATGAAGAAGAGGGAGGGGGGGTACTTATAGTGTTAGAGAAGGTTAGTTTTGTAAATTGAAAAAAAAAACGGCTATTTGTGCAATATGACCGTTGGTGGTCATGGGGGTGGGGCCCTTATTTTGAAAAATCTTGTTTTGTAGTATACTAGCATAGTATACTATATATTATATGTTATGTATATATATTCCCTTATATAATTTGATGTAGTATATATTGTATGTTATATATATATATATATTCCATTATATATTTTCTTGTAGTATATATTGTATGTTATGTATATATATTATAGCTTATATATTTTCTTGTAGTATATATTGTATGTTATGTATATATATTATAGCTTATATATTTTCTTGTAGTATATATTGTATGTTATGTATGTATATTATAGTTTATAAATAATTGCAAGTTAAAGACAAAAAAATATTGCAAAGAGATATTCAAGGGCATGTCTTATAATTTTTATTACCAAAAATGGCATATCTTTCTTAGTCTTCTTCCCCCCAATGGAATGAGCACAACAAGGTACTAATACCACCATTAAAAGGAAAAAAAACTAAAGAAGATATGCCAAAGTACAAGTTACACCATAATCTACATTGTATCTCTAACAAATCTCATAAATCCTTCAAGGTTCGGAGGAGGTTCCGTTGGTGGTGGCGGAAAAGAAGCTTGTTCATCACCGTTTCCGGGCGAAGCAGCATCCTCCGCAAGTTCCGCTATCATTTCTTCATAAGCTTCGTCTATCTCCGATTGTGATTCTGCAAGTCCAAAGTTTCTTCTTTCCGAGCGGATCCAATCTCTGAATAGTACTGATTTTTCCAAGCTCTCCCTCATAGACGCTCTATGATCACCTATTTGAAGTCTTGCTTGACTGAAAGCGCTCTCTGATGCAACTGTTGAAGCTTGAATAGATAAAATATCCCGAGCCATCCTTGCAAGAACCGGAAAATATTTTTCCCTTGCCTTCCACCATTCCAAAAGATCAAAGGTGCCGTCTGGATTCTCCTTTTCAAGTCCCTGCGACAAATAAACTTGAAGCTCATTTAGATGTGAAGTCTCATCAAAATTATCACCTTGAGAACCCCTAAACTCCGTCCAAGATTTAAGTGCTTTTAGGCCCGCAGCTCTTTTAGATGACTGTGAACTAGACGAAGTAGGGGTTGGAACATTTGGCCTAGCATGATCTAACGCAAGTTGATAAGCATTATAAATTGTTTGAGCATTTATTTTAATTGAGGCTTTTGCCTCTGCAAGTGTAGAAAATTCCTCAACTGAAAGATCTAAAGCCTTATAAATATTTGAGTACCAAAAGTGAGGACCTCCTAATTTCAATGTAGGATTTAACATTGCAGCAACACCATAAATAGGGGGGATAGGGAAAAAATATTTTTTAAACTTTTCTTTCATTGCATTTATAGCAAGTTTATAAATTTCCCCACCCTCCGAAAATTCAACAAACAAATCACATAGTGCTGCAATATAAACTAAACAATTTGAAATAGTAGGATAATATTGTCCAGAAAATGCATTTGTAGCAATTTGAAAATGTTCTAAAAAATCTATAAGAATTTTAACATTCGTCCAATCTTGATTTGTAAGGATTTCATCATCATCCTCACCACCAACACGAGCATTAAACGTTGCATTAATTGGGTTTTTATATTCATATGCAACTACTAAACTTTCGTACATATAATTCCATCTAGTTGGACAAGGTTTATGAACCTTTCTTTCTCTAAGGCCAAATTCATCACATTTTTTAAAATACTCTCTAAGTCTACTTCTACGGTTTGAATAAAAAAGCCAATTAAGAGCCATTCTAACCTTTTCAATTTCTAAATTTAAAATTCTCATACCATCACCGACGATTAAATGGTAAATGTGACAAATACATCTCACATGGAAACAATTACTAAATGCAGGATTTAGTGTTGTTGTAAGTATGCCTATAGCACTAGTGTTACTAGAAGCATTATCCATGAAAATTGCCATTATTTTATCTCTAATGCTAAAAAATATCTACTAAATATTTTGTAAACGGTGTTTAGCTAAATAACTTAACCTGTGTAGTACGTGAATTTAATTATTACTATNCCATCACCAACGATTAAATGGTAAATGTGACAAATACATCTCACATGGAAACAATTACTAAATGCAGGATTTAGTGTTGTTGTAAGTATGCCTATAACACTAGTGTTACTAGAAGCATTATCCATAGAAATTGTCATTATTTTATCTCTAATGCAAAAATATCTACAAATATCTGCAACAGTGTTAGCAATAAACTTACCTGTGTGACGTGAATTAATTATTCTATACGCAATAATGCATTTTTGCATTATCCACTCCTCATCTATCCAATGACTTGTAACAGTTAGATAATCACAGTCATTATTACTTCTACCAATATCAGTAGTAATAGAAATCCGATTAGTTATATGAGTAAATAAATACCGCAAATATTGTTCATATTCATGTTTATATTTATAATTATCGCTCTTAACTGTTG